TTCTCCGATAGCTTGTTTAGTTTGCATTTATATGTTTCGAGGAGCGCCCAAACGCAGAATATCAATACTCAGGATTTACTGTTGTTTGGATTAAACCGATCAAAGTTTCTAGACGTTTAAGTGTAGATGTCTTTAGAGGTTTTGTTGCGAACTACATTGTTGACAGTCATTGAAGTGTTTATACGTGGTCCTCGTAATTACTAATGAGTACGACTATCCCAACTAAGCGTTTTCTGACGAACCTTAACGTATAATATGTGCAACCATCTACAGAATTAAGTCATCTTTTACATACCACAACCATTCTGTCATTTTTTGTGTTGACTTCATTATTAGTTTGCAGCAATGACGTAGCTGCTTAAAATTGACTCACTCGAGTGCATAAAAGTTCATCATAATAGCCATTATATCACCTCTGTTATAACGGACGTATTGCGCATTTCACCCATCGCATCGTAAAGTTCTTGTTGCTGGAGGTTAGGACGACTATGCAGTAGATTCGTATTGCCATGTCGTTCACTGCGCTTACTGCGAAATTTGGCGCAACATTTATTTTGTCTACAACTGATCTCGAAAAGACCACAGTCACGGTGGAAAAGGGCATCTTATTTTAGAAATAACTAATTTTCAGTGAGTTAAGCAGAACGTGTACCACTAAACGGTTCACTTCAGGTCAGTTCTTGCAACCAATAAGCAGTACTTCGCGCATCGCTTTTTACGATGATTGGTATCGTATAACAATTATGCATTTCTGTTCTTAGTAGTTGGTTTGGTAGCGACGACGAGACTGCACCCTAACGTGGTGTGATGGCTTGTGCACCTCTCTGACCCAACGAGCTACATGGGATGGCTTTTACCGAGTCAAAGCTCTAATCATGCCTGGAAGGTCAATGGGTAGAGGTCAGACGAAGTCCAGTCTCCTAGTCCTCCAGGTTGGGGGTTCGACTTTAGTCGGCGTCTCAGTCGATAAAACGTGTTGGAGGAATAATTGATCCAAGTTAATGGGCTTCCAATCCGCCTTAACCACTGCCTTGCAGTTAGGTTTTTGTCAAAACTAAAGGCTTTGGTTGAGAACCGTAATCGTTCTCCTGCTTAGTGGCTGGACACCTTGGCAGTACCCGTCCATAAAGCTCTTATGAACACAAACAAAAAAACTCATACTGCATCGGTTGTCGCGCAGGATAATCAGGACCGCGCTGCCCATTGCATCGAGCGGGGTGGGTAATGATAAGTGGGCTACTGCTCAGATATCCCAACCTTCATTTAACTCTTTGTCTTCAGTTCCCAACCCTCTCCCTTTACCCCTTCTTCCGACCCGTGATATTCCCTCAGACAACTTGATCGTCGCCCACCAGGTTTTAGGGCGAGCAAAATAGTTTTCCACAAAGTCCCGTTGAGTCGTTCGACTTGGCCGTTTCCACGAGGGTTTTACGGAGTCGATCTGCTCGTGGCAACACCTTTCTCAAGGAGAAAGTGTCGTACTTCTTTCGACGTGAAGGAAATGTTTCTGTCTGAATGTATGTAAGCAGGCATTCCGAACAAGGAAAACAGTTGGCACAATCAACTGGTAACAGTGCGACTTGTTAGATCCGCACAGGCAAACGCGAAATGGAACCTCGAGTATTCGTCAACAACCGTTAAGAGGTACTGAATCCGGATGGAACAGGGTAATGGGCCCTTGAAATCGAATGACTTTCAAACGGTTGTGTAGCTTCAATTACCCGACCTCCGAAGATGCGCTGGAGCCGAGGTTTTAGCTCGGAACAGATCCCGCAGTTGGTTGTTACATTCCTTACTTCTCCGATCAAGAATGACATTGCGAGATCTTACGAAGTGCATCATACGAAAGACCCCCGGGTGGCACAAGGAGTCATAAAGTTCTCTGAGGTTTGGTCCGGCGAGGAGGGCTCCACAGCAAGATAGACTAAGTGCGTCAGCGGCCGTATTTGGCTTTCTAGGTCTAAACAAAACATCGAAGCTGTAGGGGGACAGCTCCGTTTTCCAGCGTAGGATGTTATCATTCCTGACTCTCCCACGGTGCTGGTTTCCGAAAATGAAAGAGACAGACCGCTGATCGGTGGTGAGTTTGAGATGATTACCGAATAGCATGAAACTCCATTTCCGAGCGGCTTCGACTACGGCGTACGCTTCCTTCTCAACTGCTGAATGACCTGGTCGACGTTGTGTGGACCACATCTTCACTCTTCTCCAAACTCTGGAGCATCGACATTCTTTTCGTAGGCCCACCCTCTCTCTCTTCCTGGATCTGAAAGCGGCTTTCGACTCAGTCGACCGCTCTAAACTCTGGGGCTGCCGTTCTCTGAAAGGTATGCCCGCGGAGTTTATTTCAATATTACAATCTCTTTATACGAACAGCCGAAGTTGAGTCCGAGCTTACGGCAATTTTTTGCCCGGAAAGTGGTGTTTGTCCGGGTTGCTCCCTCTCTTTTTCCATTTCACTTTGATTATATATTTAATAATGGAAACCACCCTATCCACGTGCGAGGATGGTGGCATCGATTTACTCCCAGGTGGCAGACTGTCTGATCCAGAGTATGCAGACGACATTGTGCTGCCAAGTAAAGACCCAGGTAAGTTGCAAGCTTTTCTGGATAGCTTGAATGCCAGTGTAGCCATGTGCGGTATCCGTTTTGTACCTTCAAAGTGGGATGATCCAATACCCATCCTCACTAAAACCGGGGAGGTAATAGAGCAAGTGAAACAGTTTTGTTATTTGCAGCTACATCTCACCTGGTGGACGCATCACAGATGAAGTGTTAGCTTGCATACAGGAGGCTCGGTTGATATTTGCTAATTTGAGACATCTGTGGCTCCGTTGAGACATCAAGTTGTCTGTGAAGTGTCGGGTGTATGCCGCGACAGTTCGCGCAGTTCTGCTATACGGTGCAGAAACTTGGCCATTAAGGAAACAGGATTAAGATAAACTGTTTGTGTTTAAACACTGCAGTCTACGCAGCATTGCATGAATCTGGTGGGGCAGCCGGACGAGCGCAGAGTTTTGGGTAACCGCAGTTGCCCACTGAAGCCAGTGGTTCATGGATTACATTGGTTGGGGCATGTGTTACGTATGCAACCAGATAAGTGGCCACGGCGAGCGATGTTGGCCGAGACAGATAGTGGGTAAAAAAGAGCCAAGCGTGGTCTACTTAAGACCTGGCACGGAGGTATGAAATCCCTAACCAGGGTACTGGGTCAGTTCAGTTCAGTTTGAACAACCATTAACCACGCATATTCGAGCGCCGGTTTTGGTTGCTGTATTTTGGCTGTCCATTTGGATGAAGAATAGGAGAAGAAGGGAAAGTTGAAAGTGGAGTCGAAAATAAAATGGAGAAGTTCAGTGGTCGAAGATTGCAAAGAAATTAAGGAACTCCACGAAC